CTGAAGCCTCCCTCAAAGGAGAGCTAAAAAAAACGGGGCCTGCACGGCCTGCACAGCCCATCCGCACAGGAAGCAGCCCTTAAAGCATCTAAAGGCGAGCAAAACTCTTCTGGCAGTCAGCAACTTGTGGTTCTCAGTCTCATCCTGAGGTTCAACATTGAGTTGTTCCCAGCATGGGCTCTGCCCTTTACGAAGGTGTGACTCTTGTGCAAGGTCAGATGAACTTTGGGTTCACAGTCCTAACACTTCCCCCACAAGCACGGAAGATAGGGGAAGATAGGCGCCAGCTTGCGCTCCCAGCACCTTCTTGCCCGAAGCACGGGATCCTCTGGATAAGATCAACCAAACCCCTTCACACAAGAACACCCCCTAGGCTCCAAGTACCTCCTCAGATGGTATGACTGGACCCTCCTGGCACCCACCCCAAACACCTTCTCTTTCAGGTACTTGGAGCCCTAGGGACCATCTTCATCCATCTTGCAGATCATTTAAGTCAACCTTGGCTCCAGCCACTTCGGCCACACCGCGCCGGGTTCCCGGTTCCTTCTCGCGCCGTTCCCGGTTCCCGCGCCAGGGGGAAGAGGGAGAGCTCCGAGTGGTCGGGTCGGACCAAACGGCCATTCATACTGAAGACCTGGCCGTGGAGGGCCGGGTCCCCCGGTGGAGGCGGTCAAACGAAGCCGGTGTTCCGAAGCCGGTGGCCAGAACCGCAGAGAAGCGGCAGAGGCGGCCGGTTCTGGAGATTTAGCTCTTTAAAAAGAGCACCACGCAGTTCGGGTGTTGTGTCCTTGTTTTGTGTGTGTTTCCCGAATCCCCTTTTTCACCTATTCTACAATTCTACAACATGTCATTAATTATTTCTGTACATGTGTTTACTTTCGAATCACCATACATATGATATACTATGTCTTCTCTCTCATGTTTCTCCTCTTTCCGAGACTTGTGGCCTCAGCTCCATCCCTCAGCATCTGCCGTAGCTCCTGGCCCTTTTTGCCTGGAGCGCTTGCCGCACCGCACGCACCGAGCCGTGGTGAGAGTGCGGAAAAGGACACAGCAAATGAAGGAGCCGTTAATAAGAATGCATTGGATACTTATATTTTGCAGATAATATCATATATTCTATCAGTGGAAGGACACATGTCCGTGGTTTCTCATGGTTTGCTCATAGTTCTTGTAAGTTTAAGAGTAAGTTTAAGTTAACTAGTTGTTTTTTACGTCTTTAGGCTGTTTCTCGGTCCTTTTCGGGAGGTGCATGGGTGCTCTTTTCATCGCCAAGCTGCGGAGCAGCCTGGAAACCGGGCGCTTGGACCTCGGTTGTTGCTCGGACCCTCATGGCCTAGAGTTTTGACCCTCACCGTCGACTTCAGGTATGCCCCACTGCTTGGACCATTTATGAAGTGATGAAGTCGTGAAGTGGTCAGCTTAGTGAAGCGATTTACTTCAGCTTCGGCACCCAAAAATTGAAATCTTCTCATGCCAAAAGCAAAGACCCAGGAACCGTGCGTTCGTCAAACACATCAGGAATATCAGTTAAAACCGCCACGGGTCCTGCTGTGAGTTCGTGCGGACGAGTCCGCGTCACCAGCTGCCCAACCACTGCCCTCCACACCCTGCCGCAAGGGTTCCAACCGCGGTGCCGGGTTGCGCTCGGCGCCCCCACAGCCCGACCACTTGAGCTGGAAAGTTCTGGGAAGTCAAGCATGGAAGGGCCATGCTGACTCAGAGTCTGGAGGGGGAGTCTTGGGGAGTCCTGCATGGTTTTTAGGGTGTGGATGCATGTTGTTTTGGTTGATTCAGCTGGGGGTGTAGATTTCAGCTGGTATTTGTTTGGTATTAGTATACTTGAAACATCTTGAAACCAACACAGCAAAAACCTGAGTCCTCGCCATACTCCTCAAGCCGCATGTTGTTTCCAACAATGTTTTTTGTGGTTTGGGACAATGTTCTGTTGTTCCATGCACCAGTTTTGATGCATGCAGAGATGTGTTCTCCAGCTGCGGGGAGCTTCAACAACATCAACAACCAACCTCCTCAAATCTTCTCCCGCATAGACTCATTAGACCCATCATGCTGTTATTTTGGAATGGAATGAATGCAGTCTTTGTTTTCCAAGCTCCAAGCAAAACCAAAGGGGTCAATCGTCGTGGCAGTCCTCAAGCTTCAACATCTTTGCGGAAGGTGTCCCCCCTGGTAGAAGGATTTTACAAGTCCTAATTATCTTCACATTCGCTCCTGATGGAGATAGAGCAGAAAGTGAGCATGAGAGTCCAAAATTGGGCAGCATTCAGCACTTTGGGGGGCCTTTCAGCAGACCCAGCAAAACCACCAAATTCCATTGACTCTTGTTCCAACTACTCCTCTTTTCCTGCCGATCTCTGTGCACCATCTCCCTGTCAGACAGTGCCATGTGCCAGCTTTCACCCGTCCCCATGGCACCAGCAGATCTTCCCGGGCGCGACCGACCCGGAAGGGTCAGTCGAGACCGCGACCAACGGACTCGTCGAGCCAGTCGAGTTGGGTGAGTTGACGCCCGCCGCCCGCGTCCTGCGAGAGCCGCATCAGGGTGAGGAGCGGTGTCTCGGAGGCTTGGATCTTCGAGGTGGCCTGGCCGGTGCGAAGCGGGTGAAGCGCCTTCCGCGAGGGGCGGCCTAGTCAGGATACAACGTGTCGAAGGCTGATGAAGGATCGAAATTCTGATCAGGCATGTGCAATCGTATGCAGTCTTGCTACCTTGAAAGTGTCATCGCCCCACGCTGGCTGACACAGCAAACCGCGTGTGTGGGTGCATTACAGGACTCGTACTCTTCAATAAGGGGAAGCACCGCCTCCATCAATGAAACCACCTCCGCCACGCACCATCTCATGAAAACACCCAGTTCCTCAGTTCCTGCTATGTTGCTACACTCATCAACGCAACGCCGATTCCCATGTTTCTTGATGTTTCGAACGAATCATTTGTGAGTCCCCAGCACGAATCTGGCAACCACCAAAGCAATCCTCCCTCTCAGCTCCCCAAAATTTGGGTCGCAACCCCCGAAGCTCGTGAAAAGAACTGCAGCCAATATCTGGAGATCCATTCACAAGCTTGGACATCGCAACAGCAACAACAACGAGAATTTTTGCAGGTTTGGGGGAAGTTTGAAGAGTTTGGCCTACATCTCGTCTTGCGGGTGTGCAGATTGCTCCAATGGCCAGAAAAGCTTCTGCTGTCCAAAACACGACATGATGCACACCTGGAAGCCGATATCTTTGATCTCCCAGTTCTTCAAGATCTGATCCGAATCCTCCTCCTGGCTGTGGAGTGTTCCAGCGGTTTTTCGCGCGGAAAAAGAAGGTACTGCGACTGGACAGCGCTGAAGTGCACACTGCTTGAAATGTCCCATTTTTACAATGTTTTCATTTCTGACAGCTTGTGCTTTTCTCCCATTTTTTAGAAGAGACAACACTTGCAACATGGAATTTACAATGGCGAGCAGCCGAAGCTGCACTCATTTTTTGCGGACACGCGTTTTGCAGGTGTATGTGGTTTACAGTTTCGGCCAGGCTCGGGCCAACGCCTCAAGCATCAACTTCAGGACGTAAGTGCAAGCGAACGTTAACATGCCCCA